ACGAAAAAAAATGTGAAATAAGATTTCAATAATTTATAATCAATATTTTATCAAGAAAAGAAGAAGAAGAAGATGTTGGAAGAGGTAGGAAGAGGCAAAACAAGTGCTGCGCCAATAAGAGCACGCGCAAATGTTTTTTAATCCAAAGACTTTTGAAAAACAAACAGCTGCGAGATGAAAAGTGTTGCGTGTGTACTGCGCCGCGCAACAATAAGAGGTCTTTTTTTCCAAAAAACAAACAACACCTAAGGCTAAGTTATATCTTCAAAAAAAAAAGAAAAAAGGAAATTTGAACTTCTAATTCGACTAGGGAGGTATGTAGGGAGGTATGAGGAGCTTATCCCACCTTTTCTTGGACTTCAAGAGTGAGACAAATACCGTAGGTTCAAAGCTTCTTGTGCAAGTTTTGAATGTCATATTAAACCCCTAGATTTTTCCATAATGGCATAGTTAGTCCTTGTGATTAATGTTTTAACATTTTAAGTATTTGAAATCTCATTTTAGTCCCTCTTTTTTTTCATGTTTTTTTTTAAATGTCATTCCTATATATTTTGTTATTTATTTTAATCATTGTATTCCTATTAAAAAAGCAAGAAAATAATTAAAATGACTAATTAAACAACTAAATGAAAGTGGGGTGTTAGAGAGTCAGAGATGGATCCTATCATCTTTCGATAAGGTATGAAAAAAGGTAAACCTGGTAACCTGCTTAACATCTCTAACCGACACCGGTTTATATCTTGGGGAATATCCTTCTCATGATTTATCTAATTCTAATATTATCTTTTGTAGGTAATTAACCAAAATTTAGTCATGTACTAAAACATAAGTCATTTGGCACGTATGTGGAGTTAATAATCTTCAACCCTATATAAATCTTGTTTGTGCTCGATACATCGAGCCAAGAGACAAAAGATGGGTCCTAAACATAGTCAACATAGCCAATAAGACCTATACCACACTCTACTTGTCCATTTATCCTCTTTCTGAGTATGGTATGCATTTTAGAGTCAAGTTCGCCTTGTAAAGCGAAGATGTAATAGAACCACAACCATTAAAAACAAAACCAATTTCCAATCTACTAAATTTCGAATATCAAAAAAATTTCGAAAATGCTCATCTGTTTCAAACTTCTTGTTCATGTTAGAAAAAAAATGCAAACCTAAATGACAAGCCCACGATAATCTTATATGTTAAAGCCTTACAAACTAAGGACCACAAATTTTGGAGTTCAGAACTCAACTCCCTAAGTTTCATTTTTCATTTCAGAACTCAACTCCCTAAGTTTCACACATGGTGGTCCATCTGGCTTTTTTCTAGTTAATGGTGGTCAAATTTGTTATAATCCATTTAAGAAAACTAGTCATTTTCATGAATATCCCCTTAGTTTAATGAAAGGTCATTTCTTTCATCATCGGGTTTCGTTAAACCACGTGCTATCATAAATAAATAAGTAAAAAGGGCAATATACACTCCGTTTCACTAAATTAAAACGTTGAAATAGTAAAATGATTTGATAGATTGACCGGATATATCAACGAGAACATGAGAAAAAAAAATGTCTACATGGAGGTTGTTTCACATTTACTTCCATTTAAGTACATAGCAACAATAAAAGTAATATAAAAATACAATTTATATAACAATATAAATAGTAATAATAAGAGTAAAAGTAATAATACAATTGATATAACATTATAAATAGTATGTGCATACTAGTATACTACACACAGTCACGGAGAGTGTAGAATGGTGGATAGAGTTAGAAGCCACTTGGTATACTTTTCCCAGCATCCAAGATTGCATCTTCGATTAATTTTATCAGTTTCTTACTTCCACCTACTCGAGCTTCATCAAGAGGCGTGTTACCCCATCTGTGACAAACAAACAATTAATAGGTTATTATACGAGGATAGCTTTTAAAGGAATCAAGAAATGAATGGAATGGTTCATTCCATTGGAATAAATAACCCCTTGAAGATACTTTGTTAATTTTCATTCCTTAGCATGGGTTGATTTTCTTTTCATTTCATTTTGGAATGGAATAATAAATTGCAAAATAACCCTTTCATCATTCCTAAGGGTGTGTGGAAGGACTTCGATTCCATTCTTTATATATATTAAAAAAAAAGACCAAAATACCCTCATTAAAACATACCTGTCTTTGGACATTACACTCCCACCAGCTTCTAAGATCAACTTAGCAATTGAATACAAGCCTTCTGCAGCTGCAATATGAAGTGGTGTACGAAGATCATAATTTTTGGAATTAGGATTAATTCCATTCGCCAAAACTCTTTTTAAAAATTCAAAATCCCCCTCTGCAACAGCCATACAAAGACAATTCCCAGCATTATTCATATCTAATGATGCTCCTGCTTCCACAAGCATGGAAACCACCTCATCCTGCCCACTCTTGATTGCTTCCAACAATGGTGTATTTCCATGATTATCTACATCACACATTTATTTTTTGTTTAAGTTCAAATGCACTATTTAGCATTGTACCTTGAGTTTTTTCTGTATTACATCATTGTGTTTTTATATGTTTTCTTATTAAGTAATTGCACTTTAAAAATCCACCCACTTTTACAAGTGTACATTCAATTTTTTGCTTATTGAGACATTTTACTTTAAAAAATCTACCTAATTATAAGGAGGAAATGAAAGTAGGATGATATAATAAACAAATCAATACAAGTATGTTGATACCTCTTGCATTTCACCCTAGATATAATTAAACCCTACACATAGGAACTTACCTGTTGCATTGATTATTGCTCCTTTTTCCATGAGAAACTTAACAATATCTTCAAAACCTTTCATTGCAGCAATATGCTGAAAATAGATCATTAGTATGCAGTGTTGCTTAAATAATTATTACTTTATTACATTGTAATCCGGAATAGATCATTGAAAACAATAATAAAAACTAGATATATTACTTGGCAATTGATATAAATATATTCACTTAACAAATGGACAAATAGTAGAACCAATTATGGTAGAGTTTTATAGTAGGGAAAAATACACTACTTTCACCATTTTATAGTTTTAGCCACTTTACTATTTTCTGGAGTGATTAAACCATTATTATTCGTTAACTATTTAAAAAGTTTCTCTCTATTAATCAGTTTTAGAAATATCAGGCCAAAATACAGGAAAAGCATAACGTATTTTCACCACTTCATCAATTTAGCCACTGAAATATTATTTTTTATTGATTTAGCAATCGAACTTGTATTCTAATCTAAAAACCTAATAGTTTAGTGGCTAGATCGATCAACTGATTAAATTACATTGTGGCTAAATGAAAAACAATGTGAAAGTATAGATGTATTTCCTCTATTTTGCCCTTTCACGCATCATAAAACCAATGTAGGAAAACCATTGAGTTCATTTTGAAAAAAGTATATATATATATATATATATATATATATATATATATATATATATATATATATATATATATAAGTAAAAAATGAATAACAGCATAATAAAAACAAAAAAAAATTAATACCAAAGGTGATCTTCCATCATAATCCGTGTTATTAGGATCTAATCCAGCTGCAACCAAACGCCTTACACGATAACTATCTCCATTATAAACAGCAGAATTTAAGGTGAGGGCCAATTCAGATTCATGTTTTGCAATATGAAGTGTTATATCAGACTCCAAAATCTTGTTACGGAGGTTTGTTTCTTTTCCCTAGTAATAATAGTAATAATAATACGAAATGAGATTTCTGTAAACAGCAAATGAAATAATATATGGCAACGGTTATTTGTTTATAATTATGAATTATATAGGATAGGAAGTAGGAAGACTCACGTGAAGTAGGTTATCTAGAATGATCCTGGCATCAGAAAAGTGTATCTCAAGTATATCTGTAAGAGATTGCCTATCAACGCGCAGTAGCTTTGACAGCTCAGCAACACGAAGTGTTTCAGGTACCGGAATGTTACAAAGAAGTGATATTTCATTCAGAGAGCTTGAAGTTTCCAAACTCCGAACACATTTCCCCCCTTCATTCTCATTTCTACCCATATCCTCCTGAAACAATACCAAACCCACCTACTTTTGTTTATTTCTTTACTACCATTCTACTTCCTATTATTTACACCAGTGCACTTGTAACAAATCAAACTAAAATTTGGATACGTGCTATAATTGAGTAGATTTCCTTAATAAGATTACAAAATTGAAAGAACAGCTCTGTAGCAGAAAGGAATAAAGGAGGAAAGAGAAAAGATGAATACTTGGCTTGGGGCAATTTTCTGATGATATTGGACTCAAAATCAATACAAGTTAAATACTCCTAAGTCCTAACCTAGTAGTGGACTCCTGATCTTGAGGAACAAGAAGATGAGCAGTAGTTATTAAGTAAATGCAACTACTGGTCCGGTCCTATAATCAAGCAGTAAAACAAAAGAGGGAAAATATATTATGGAGTGAGAGGTGACTCCTTCTCTGAATTACACTTTTGGACCGTGGCCAGGGGCAGGTCATCGGGTGGAGCTCAGATCACTATTCGTATCATAAACAGATTCACAACTAAAATTTATAAAAATTCATGATATTGGGCTTCAAGTATACTGTAAAATTTATACTAATTTTCATATCTTTAAATTATGTTATTCAAGTATAATGTGAAATTAAGCACCAAAGCAAACCACACTAAACTGTCAACAATCACTCATGTTGTTGTTGAAGATTTAAACTAATTGGTATATTGCGTACCAACTTCCCATGACAAACAATGTAAAGCTGATCTGCTATATTTCCTTCTTCAATAATCACTTCTCCAGGAAGAAAAAGTTCTTCATGAACTTTAATCGCCTACATTTAAATTATAAATTATAAATTAATAAATGATAAATGGGACTCAAGGATCTCACACAACAAGGAAGCAACAGATCAGGTTAGCTTCTTCTAACTAAGTTGCACCAAATGCTTCAATAATATTACAGCCAAACTGTGAGAAATATTATATACAGTTTACATTTTATTTTCATGAAGATTGTGCAGAATAGAACTTACAAGAAATCAAGCATTAGGATTGAAAATTGTCCACATTACTGAAACAACTTACTATCTGTTTGATAAATGCAGGAGAGCATCCCTTAAAAAGAGGAACTTCTTTAATGTATGGCTCATATAACTTCTGCGAGATCTGTAAAATAGACGATTAGATTAGATCAATGTAACCAAATAATCTGCTTGGTGAAAAACTAAGGGGGGGTGGTTAAATTCAAGAAATACCAACCTACTTTCATTGATTACTTTATTTCTTTCTAGTACATGAAAAATATACACAGTTATGGCAATGTGATACAAATACAAATGAACTTTCACTGCTATAAATTGGATAGATTTTTCAAAGTATAATGTCCTAATAATAAGAAGAAAATTGAAAGTATTGGGTAGGTTTCTCAAAGGGTGATGATCTGTACACAACACTTTTTAGCCATACACAACAATTTATGATTTATACAACTGTATAGTACAACCATCTAATACATATATTGTTGTGAATGGCTAAAAAGTGTTGTATAGTAACACAATAATAAGAAAAATGGTTGTAGGAAAAAAATTAATAGCATACTTTCATCTATTTGTATGATTAAATCCTACCTTGGCTCGAAAGCTAGCAGGAATATCTTGAAGAACAACTGTATCATTGTAGCTGGTCTCATACTGTAAGCGAACATGGCCTTTGATCTCGTTGCTTATTGTCTTTCCAAGGTTGTTTTTGTTCATATATCTGATTAAATCTGTCATTTTATCTCTAAATCTTTCTGTTTTTGATCCTTTCACAATCAGTGCAGCCATATTACCAAGTAAATAAGCACCAAGAAGCATGTCACCAGAAATAAAGATAATAATAAATATCATTTCCCTGTTGTTCACAGCATGTATATCTCCATAACCTGCAGCATATGGATAGAATCAGAAAGCTTCTTCACTGAACGCCAATTATAGGATTGCACTTTCAATTTTTATCTTATTTGGACATCAAGATATGAAAGTTGGGTGTTGTTATTTCTTGCATCGAGCGATACATAATATTTTAAAGTAATATCTTCACGAAACAAGTCATGGTATAATAAAATATACTTCAAATATACATATGCACATTTCTAAGGATATATAACAGGGATAAATGAAAGAAATAGCAACATGTTTTCATTTCTTTGTGTATGCAACTTTCATATTTTTCTATTACAACATTGTATTTTCCATTTCTTTCTTATTAGGTCATTGTATTTTGAAAAATCTACCCAATTATAGCATTGCAGTTTCAATTTATTTTTTTATAAGGATAATACACTATGAAATATTCACCCAATTATAGCAGTGAGAATTTCTTTGTATTTTCATGGCATTGATATAATTGGGTAGATTTTTCAAACTACAATGCTATGATAGAAAGAAATGAAAGTAGCATGCTATTAATGAATGTTGTTATTTCTTGCATTTAACCATACATAAAATTTTAAAGTAGTACCTCACAGAATAAGTCGTGATAATAATAAAATGAACTTCAAATAGTATTCATTAATGTGCAAAATTTGCAACAAATGAATGGAATCAGTAAGCATCTTCCCTTAAAGCCAATAGGGAATGTTAAAAGAGTGGCACCAAATGATCTTGATGTTATAACTTATAACCACCCAGGCACATTTCTAAGGATACATAATAAAGGTACATGCAAGAAAATAGCAACTTACTTCAACTTATTTGTGTATTATAGCATCCTAGTTTCATCTTCTTCTATTACAGCATTGTACTTTTAATTTTTTCCTTATTTTGGCATTGTACTTTAAGACCTACCCAATTACAGAATTGTACTTTCATTTTTTTTTTTTTAATGAATTATAACAGGAAAAATCTACCTAACTATAACAGTGAGGAATACTTTGTATATGGATGAAATTGCTATAACTGGCTAAATTTTTCAGAGTACAATACTGTAATAGAAATAATTTAAACTAGGACGCTACAATAAACGATAACTGAAAGTACATTGCTATTTCTTGCATTTAACACAATAAGGTCAAGTTCAATTGTTTCATCTTCCATCCCCACAATTTAAAAACAATGAGATAGATAGATAAAGGGATTCTTCCGTTGAAGATAGAAATTCAACATATCTTGTCTTTAGTTTCTAAGATAAAGACAAGGAGTGGAGTAAAAGAAAATGTAAGTAGTGTGGTAAAAAAGAAAAAGAGGAGCTGACCAACAGTTGCCATGGTGACAATGGCGAAATATAGAGAAGTTATGTAGCGTGTGAACAAGTCTATTTCTCTAAATTGGGAGTAATTGTAGTCTCCCATCTTCAAACTCCCTATCCATGTATAACCTTCTTTTGCAGGAGGCATTGTAGTGGCCAGGTAGTAAAAGATACATGCTGCTGTATGAGTACAATAAAGCTCAACAACAAAAAGTTTTATAATTCTTGTGAAAAGATAATTAATACGAATATCTTTCTCCATTCCTTCAAAAAATTCAGTCACTCGAAGAGCCCGACTTAGCCTTATCCATAGCAGGTACCTCACTGCTTCTTTTCTGTTACAAGCCTGAAATACCAACATACTTTTATGTTTTTCGGTATTATCTCATCCTATTCCTACTTTCTCATATTAAAGGTTTCTACTTTCAAAAATTATCTCAATTTTTTTCTCCTATTAGGACATTATACTTTGAAAAAGCTACCATCACATTGCTATACTTAGCTAGCTTTTTCAAACTACAATGTTGTAATACGGAAAAATGGAAGTATGATACAATGATAAACAAATCAATGAAAGTGAGTTGTCATTTCTTGCATTTAACCTATGAAGAAGAAAAATCAAGTTTAAAAGATGATGAATTAATTATGTATATGTAAACAAGTAATGTTTTTTGATTACGTGAGAAAATTAACAATTGATACCTCATAATTGCAAATATATATATATATATATATATATATATATATATATATATATATATTAATATGAGTTTATGTGGATAAAATAAGTCTAAATTCAAGAAATAACGTACTTCCATTAATTTTTTTTTATTGTAGTAACATACACGCACAGAATTATCATACTTCCATTGTACTTTGAGAAAATGTACCCAATTATAGCACCCTGCTTTCTAGTTTTTTATAAGGACATTATATTTTTAAAAAAACTATAGCAGTGAAAATTCCTTTGCATTTGGATGGTATTCTTTCTAATTGGGTAGATTTTTTAACATACAATGTTGTAAAGCAGAAATGAAAGTAGAATGCTATATTAACCAAATCAATGGAAGTACATTGCTATTCCATGCATTTAGCCCTATAAATATGAGATCAATTCAAGTATGAAAGATGATGAATTAACTAGGTACTCTTCACATAGGTGGTGTTTTTATCGGGTACAGATGAAAATTAACAATCAGTACCTCTTTATTGCAAAATAAAAGCGAGTTGATGTGGATGAAATAGAGCTAAATGCAAAAAATAACTATGTACTTTCATTTGATTGTGTATTATAGCATCCTACTTCCATTTCATTGCATTACAGCATTGTAAGTTCCATGTTTTTCTTATAAAGACATTGTAATTTTGAAAATCTACCCAATTTAACTATGGATCAAGCATATAAAAATTTGCAATCTGGATTCTAACTTTTGAAATCCTAGGAAATACCTTGTAAATGGCATCCAAAGGTAAACAGCCCAGAAAATCAAGCAGGAAACGAGATTTTAAGTACCTGGTAGGCAAAGACATTAGTAAGGAAAAAAAAAATAAGAGAAAGAGAAACAGTAGAAGAAGCAACAGTGGGATAACATTGTACCGGATGGCGATGAGGTTGTGATTGCAGACAAGGCGATGGGAATGAGCGTCCTTGTAGGCAACGAAGAAATGTATGAGAATATCGATGAAAAAAGCAAGCTGACCAGCAATGTCGAGGAGGAACAGATTTTCCGGTAACCCTCGGAAGAATCCGAACTCGAGGGGTGTGAAGAATGACGAATATATCGCCCATATCAGGATGAATTGCTTCCATGCTATATACCACCTGCATATTCACATTCCCCCAATTAATCTCTTTCTTCCTCTTCTGTGTCCCATGATTTCAATTTTAGGTTCTGAAATTTCGCGGCAAATTAAAGTTCACTCCAACCCATTGTGTGTTAGGTTTTCTGGAAGTCTTGCTTGACGCTTGTTCAAAGCATGGATTGGTGATTTGTAATGTTTTGTTTTAATAATTGAGAATTAGTTACGACTATAACATGGGTTTAAGCATGAACGATAGCCCAGGTCTCAAAAAATTTAGGACCCACTGTATTTATATATTATACATTTATTAAAAAAAAAATCAATCCATATATGCTATATTTATATATTATACATTTATTAAAAAAAAATCAATCCATGATGCAGGGGTGTGTTAGTATAGATTTAGACAAAAATGTAAGAATGGTGTGAAAATTGTCATTTTGGTCCAAGTAGGTTTGGACCGGCAAAGATGTCCAAAAGTTTCATTTTCTTTCGAGTTTGGTCCAATTTGATTTGAAATTTTTTATAAAGACGATTTTGTCTTTTTATTATTTACTTTTCCATTTTTATTTAATTACAGCAATTAAAAAACAATTAATAAGAAAACAAAAATAAAATTCTCTCTTTTTTCGTAGGAGAAAGAAAACATCACAAATCTGCACAAACCCACACATTAATATCCCTCTGACCTCCCGAAACCCCCAACCCCAAATTTAAGAACCCTAAGAAAAGTAGAAAACATTGATTGATCGAAGTTTCACTCGTTGCAAATCTGAGAATCAAGTTCCCTTCATCTTCAAGCTCAAGTTTGTTATCGGAAATGGCGGACTGTGGACCAGTGGCGGCGGTGCTATTTGTGCTTCTAATTCTCATTAGGATTTCGCCGCCGCAACACCGACAAACAACAGATCTTGGTGGAAGGTTGTCTTGGTGGTGATGGTGTTTCTGGCTCGAACAGGTGGTGGTGCAAAGGATGGAAGGAGGATGGTAGTGTACGTAGGTGGTGTAGCGGCGGTGACACATAGATTGAAGTTATGGTTTGTAGCGACGGCTTTGTTAATCTCATTCTCCGACGACGACTTCGTTCTTTAGTTAAGGTTTTCGACTTCCATATCTTATGAGCATCAAGGGTGACGAGACAAGAAAACAGATGTTCATCAGATTTTGTGTGTGTGTGTGTTCTTATGATTTCGTTCTTCAGTTAGGGTTTTCATCAGATTCCGTTCTTTAGTTAGGGTTTTCATCTGATTTCGTGTGTGTGTGTATGTGTTCATCTGATTTTGTGTGTGTGTGTGTGTTCATCTGATTTCGTGTGTGTATGTGTGTACATGTGATCTGATTTTGCGTGCGTTCATCGAATCTGATTTCGTGTGTGTATTCATCAGATAAGACGAAGTCGTGAACTCAAGAACAAACCCAAAATTTTTGTATGGTTTTTTGTTTCTAGATGATTTTTTGGCCTACTGTGGTGGTGGCGAACGATGGTCGAACGGTAGTGGTGGCAGACTATGGTGGTGGCGGATAGTGGTCGAACGGTGGTGGTGGCGGAAGATGTTCTTGATTGTTCTTGAATCTATGAATATGTTCTTGGGTGTTTATCAAACACAAACACAGACACAAACACACATAATTTATTTTTGTTTTATTTTTAAATGTTTTTTAGTTGTTGTAATAAAATAAAAATGGAAAATTAAATAATAAAGGGAAAAATCGTCTTTATAAAAAATTTCAAACCAAATTGGACCAAACTCGCAAGAAAATGAAACTTTTGGACCTCTAGTGCTAGTCCAAACCTATTTGGACCAAAGCGTCAATTTTCACATAACAGCAGGGACCAATCATACAATTTTGTTATACCAAAGAAAAAAAAATTTATCCCTTAGATTAGAAGAAGACCTTAAAGGGAATTGTAATAAATGGCGCCAAAAAAATGAAGAAATGTAAAGGATTTATTTTTTCAGAAATCAAGAATAGGGATTTAATTCCTAATGGCAACAATCAAAAACACAATCAATCTTCTTTCCTCTTTCTCCAATTTTCCTCGCTTCTTGGACTCGCACACAGACTAACAGATTGATTTGTTACAGGTTGTTCATCTGATGATTTTAATATCTAACTGAAAATCGTTTTACCTAGTTCGTCAAGATGTCAATGAAAACAGAAATTGAAATAAGTAAAGTAAGTGATTTCTGAATGAATAAGATTCATGTACTGTGATTGAAAAATGATTTTTGATTTCATAATAAAAATCGATATCTGATTCTTTGAATAAAAACTAAATTTTGATTCTAATTTTGATTTATGGTTGAAAAAGATTGTTGAATAAGAAATGATTTCTGAATGAAAAGGATTGTTGAATAAAAAACTAATTTCTAATTATGATATTGATTTCCGAATAAAATTGATTTTTGATTCTGAAATAAGATTTCAAATTTCTGGATTGAAAACAATTTTTGATTTTGAGTTTCTTAATTCTGATTAACTGATTTCTGGAGTGAGCTATCTTTGATTTTGAGTTTCTGAATTCTGATTAATTGATTTCTGGAATGATGAAAACTAATTTATGATTTATATGTGTTTATTTTTTTAAATTGTAGGTAAATTTAAAAACTAAGAGAAGCAATCGTATTTATTATTTAATGTTAGGTTGTTAGCTTTGTTGCTGAATTTTTCGAATCAACATTAGCACATCACAACGAGGTGTTTTTGTTTCTTTACTTCTCTTTCTCTTTCTCATTGTTTTATCTCCGTTTGATCTTAAAATTTGTTAAATAAAAAGATTGTTATCCAAATATTTTCATTGCATATCGAATCTTATTAATTTTATATGTTACTGTAACATCAACATCAACATCAACAGAAAGAAGTTGTTCAAAAATGAAGTTAATAAAAAAATATTTGAGATCATCAAGCTCACAAGAAAGGTTAAATGGTTTGATCATGTTATGCATTGAAAAAGATATATTGGACACTATTAACCTTGATACTATTATTGACGACTTTGTTATCTAAAAAGTTCATAAATATAAATTTGTGTTTTTTTTTGTTTTTGTTTTTGTTTTTTTTTTTTTTATTTGTTAGGTTGTTTGGCTCTTGGGGTGATAGATCAGGTGGAGAGTCTCAAGCCTAATATTGTATTATATTTTTTTAATTAATAAATTTTTTTGGAGGTACCCACCACCTTTACCAAAAAAATCTTTTTTTACTAAGGTCTTATTTTTTATTTTGTCCAGACCTCATGTCAGTTAAAAACGACGATGGATTTAAGTTGGGTTGAAGTGGTTAAATTATATATGAAATATATATTTTTGTCTTAAAATTGAACCTAGTTTTATCACTATCACTCGTCTAATACCATTTAAGTATAAACTTGTATTTAATCAATTTTAAAAATTGTGTAAATATTATTATATGAAAGTTTGTTATAGTTCACTTTCATCGCCTAGCTTTACCGTCCAATACAGGGTCGTGTCTGCCACCAACAAATATGCCCATGTCGGATACTACGGTGATTGTTACTTGCACAATATATAGTTATGTTGATGACACGCCGCAACATATTTCGGAACATATGACGGTTTTTTCAAAATTTTCTTTATATTATAGTCACATTTCAATCTTTGTTCTAATATTATAATAATGTTTCTTTGTTATTAATTTTGTTCAATAATTAATTTTGTTCCATTTCATCTTTGTTCAAATATTATAATAATGTTTCTTTGTTATTACTTTTTGTTCAATAATTAATTCTGTTTCATTATAAAGATGTATCAATTTATAAAATCCGTCCAAACGCATTATTCATATAACTAAAATCTACCAAGAAAGGTATAAAATGGTTATAAAAAGTTAATTATTGAAATAAATCTAAATTTACTTACGTGATACTTGTTTTAATCATTTGATTAATTTATCAATGATCTAAATGACTATAAACACATATATATATAAAACAAATCCAGTCACCCATTAAACTATTTGTTTCGATTTTTATAAAACTACAACTACGGTTTAATTGATTATAGTTAAGCACTTATGGAGATCAGAAAATCTATGAAACGATAGCTACATATATAATTTATTAGGATTTTTTCTTTAAGCAAAAGAGGCAAAAACTAACTGATAAATAATTTTATACAAGTTTTTGGATATAAACAAATGCTAAGTCTTTATGACTTTCTCACTGAATATATGTGGATATACATGTGCTATTGAATTAAAACGAGTAGGGATGATAGTCTTACCGATTTTGTGGATGAATAAGAAAGTGATTGGTGGTGGTGTTGCTGCCACTGTCACCTGGTTGTCGCCACCTCAATGGGCTGTTTTGGTCCTCTTCTTCTAATAAAATCTCTTCTCTCCTACTTGTATCCATTTTAAAACCTATAATGGATCGTAAACTTGTATACATATATTTGCATTTATTGAGGATTATGCCTTAAAAGTTAAAACCGCTTTATAAAAAGAGATGAATAAATATATTCCAAAATGATTAGATATGTTCATACTTCATATCTTTATTTGAAGTAAAAAAGGGAAAATTAAAATAATAGTAATATATTTAGATAACGTTTTATACTTTTATATTTAGATTTTTATCGATAACTATATGGGAAAAGTGAATATACCCTTAAAGGTATATAAGCTTAGGTACCCAAACACACCATAATATGTCGTTTTGTTTAATATATTCATTATAATGTTCTTAAACTCCAACCCCTAACTTGATTTACTTTCAAGATTTTTGAAATTTCACTATTATCTTTCTCTTACATCACATCTTTTTGCCGAACACCTACTTGACTATATATATTTTAGTTGAAAGTGAAAATTATGTAAGAGGAAGATAAATGTGTAATTTATAAAAATCTTGGAAGTAAATCAAGTTAGAAGTTAAATTATAAGAATATTGGACAATTAGAATGTATTATATGATACAAAACGACGTACTGTGGTGAGTTTGGGTACCTAAGCTTATATACCCTTAAGGGTATATTCACTTTTCCCTAACTATATATATATATATATATATATATATATATATATATATTATACAAGTAGGTTCATGCGAAAACATAAATAGTTTGTGAAAATACGAAAACAAATTTTATCTTATAAAAACCAAACACATGTTTTTTGGTTAAAAATCAATTAAGTAGAATCTAACCAAATTGTATGAGAGGTTGTGATGTTCGTGGTAAACCAAGTAAGAAATGATAATCAAAGTGACACAGGTGAGTTACAAAGAAAGCCCTTGATCCTTGATAGGATCTCCGGCATAAAACCTTGGGAGGTGATAATGATCAGTTGCATTGATAATTTTATTAATATAAAATGTTGGTTTACAAAGATGAATGTGTAAATATAAGTACAAGTATCGTGGATGAGCTCAGTGTGTCCCTAGTGTGCTAGTTACATGTGCCATTTATAGGGCGTGTTCGACATGAAGCGTTTGGGAGCTTCTAGCTTTTAGCGTTTGATAAAACGCTCCGTTTTGAACAGAAAGTGTCGTTCGGCACTACAAGCTTCTAGCGTTTAGTTTAAACAAAACGCTCCAAATTCAAATGCTACTTCATGTAGCGTTTAACAAAACGCTACAAGCTACAAGCTACCCGCTACCAGCTAGTTTTGCCGAACACGCCCATAGTCTAATGCTAATAACAAGAAGTCCGATAATTTTGGGATCCTTCAGAATCAGCATATGAACGTTGTTTGACTTGGTTTTCCGGGTCTTTTGCCTGGTTGAGATGACTCTCTGTTGAGAATGGGTCTTGTGTTGACTTGTTCTGCATATGTGAGAAAGATAAAGACAATATAGGTGTTACAAGTGCTAGAAATATTAGTGGTAATAGTCAGGATCCCGAGATATGTTTAAGGATCCCGAGGCTTCAGAAATATTTGAGGATCATGAATATGAGTCAAGGATCCTGCCCCTAACAATTTCCCCCAAATTATACTTGTGAAATATAGGGGTTAGTTTTCCGTATTAAAGGTATAATTTAAAAATAATAAACAAAAGACATAAAAGATTTTGAATTTTAAACCCTAATCGGATAGGGTTTATCTGCCTAAGGTTAATCATCACGCGGTAAAATTGTACCCTCTCTCTTCCGCCATTGGGTTAAATAGGGTAATCATCTTAACTCTTTATGTTTCCCAATACGTCTTCGGCTACCTTCTCATGTAATTTCTTCCCCTTGTTCTTCCTTTTGTACTTTCCTTTCTCCGATCATGAGCAAAAAGATAGTTCGTTCTCACGCTAGCATTACCGCTCCTCCAGAGAATGACTATGTCGATCAGGGGCTTCTGGCCCATGATGAGGTTTGTTCTTTCAATGATGAAGACATGCAGTCCCTTAAGGCCAATGGAGCTTTTCCTTCTGATGCAATCTTCACATCCTTTGGTCCTTTTATTCAGCCTGATTTCATTTCTCCTTCTTGGGTATGCTTTCCTGAATATCCATTTTATCTGGGCCTCAAATATCCTTTTTCGGGTATTATTTCTGATTTCTTTCAAGCCACCAAGCTTTCCCATGTCCAAGAAATGCCCATTATTTGGAGGATTTTGTACTGGATTGAGCGAGTGAATCATTCCCACAATCTAGACATTGGTCTTACTGAGTTAGCTTCCATTTATGATCTTTCTACTTTTGGGAGTTCTCGTTTTCTGCTTAGGGTTAAAACCAACAAATCTCCTATTGTCTTGAAAACCAAACATAACGATGGAGCCTGGAAGGAAAAGTTCTTTTTTGTGAGGCGAGATTCTATCGATGATGTGGATCTCTTGCCTAAAGCTTAGGTTGAAAAGGGTAGGATCTTATTTATTGATCTTGAGGATCCAATGATTTATGGTTCTTATTTTGTTCATTTTGATACAGGTTACAAGTTTGGTGAAGCTTTTCCTGCTGGTGAGGATACTGAAGATAAGGAGAGGCATTTTCTTGCTTTACCTGCAGACATCAGATCATTCAAACTTGAGTCTCCTAGTCTTCAAGAGGGTTCTTCTACCACAACTTCGATGGCCACTGGTAAGGATCTTTCTCGGTGTTTTTATCTATTTTATCATAAGGATCCTGAACTTATGGGGATCCTTCTTAATGTGTAGGATCCAAAAACACTCGCTCTAGTGCCCGATTTGTCTTGTCTGAACTTGAAGACAACATGTCTAGTGGTTTGCTCACGGTAAAGAAGGAAAATATCCCTCCATTGTTCGCTCCCAAGAAGACTCAGCTCGACCTTACTGTGAAGACCACAACATCTCGCAAGAGAAAACCATCTGATGTTTGGGATCTTGAGAACGTTGGGACAAAGGAGGCGCTAAAGAAGCTGATCTCCTTTTCCCAATCTGTGAGTATTCATGTTTTATTTTCCATTCAGTTTTATTATCTATTTACTGTGGTCCTCTTAGGTCGTTGATCACATCTCTCGCTCCAGTGAGGATCTCAAATCCAAACTCGCTCAAACAGAGCATGCTTTGAAGGAGCAGGAGGGAGTCAATAAGGAGCTCCAGCAGAGACTGGAGAAGTTATCCAGGGAGAAGGATGAAAAGGAAAAGGAACATGTGGCTGAGATGGATGACGTGATTGCTGAAGTGAGGATGAGTGTGGTTGTTGCTGTCTGGGAAGCAAAAATCAAGCTTGCGGAGGATCTCGAGAACGCGGGATCATGGAATGTAGCAGGATGGCGTGAAGCTATAGCAAAGCTAACTGGTAATCCTGTTAGTACCAATCAGGATCCTGAAGGACAACAGCAGAAGGCGGGTGGAGGGGAGAAGGTTACGGGCGATGATAACCAATCCACGGTTTAGCCATGTTTAGATAATAATATTCTAAATGGTTTTTATTTGAAAATGCAAAACAATTTAGAACTTTGTTTTTACGGGGTTAGCGTGTAACCCTTTTAATGTTATGGTTGTTTTATATCCTTGTTTGCATGTTTGACTTGCGTGATATGATTGTAGGATTTCTGAGGATCCTTACGTAGTCAGAATCCTGAAAAGTTCAAACTTTTATAGACCTGATTAGCCTGAAATGGTTAGTCGTCAAATTGGGATTTTGAAATAATCAAGATCTTTTTTAGAATAATAAATCTTTTGAAAAATAACGTTAAAGGATAGAAAGAACCTGGTTATCCTTTGACTTAGGAGAAATCTATTATTATGATTCCCTTAGTTTCGTATGGTCCGGAAGCTTCCGTATGGAAGGATCCTTGCTCTAGAAGTTCATCAGGTAGGATTCTTGATTACCCATGACTTAGTGAACTTTGTGGAGGATCCCTCCTTAGGAATAACTTGGAAATAATTTTTACTTAGAAAACAACTGAGAAGAATCCTGTTTTTGTAACATGGTAATATTGCAAGTCTTGCATATTTTCTGGGGAACATCCCAACTTTAGACAACATGTTGGTGTCATCACTCTTAGAAAATCTCAGGGGAAAATCCCAACCTGAGATAACATGTCATTGTTACAAACTTTAGTAAATTACTGGGGAAATCCTGATTCAAGGTAACATGTTAATGTTACAAATCTTGGTAAATTACTGGGGGAAATCCTAATTCGTATGATAACATGTCAATGTTATAAACCTTAGGAAATTTTCTGGGGGAGATACCAACTTGAGATAACATGTCAATGTTATAAACCTTATGTGTTTTCTGGGGAAGATCCCAACTTGAGATAACATGTCAATGTTATTAACCTTAGATTCAAACTTTAGGATCTTAACTTATGTTCCGAAATAAGAGGGTTGCCAAGTCACTGCAGCGTGAAATGATCCCCTTATTCACATACCATAGTTAGATATTGTGTGTCCAAGTGAGGTGTAGACACCTTAAATCGTATGAAATAGGTAATTAAATCTTTAAACCTTAGAGGAGATTAAGTACCCTTATTCGTAGGATAGACGATCAGTCTCTATTCTTAGTTACTATGGCTTTTGCGTATTGTAATCGTGAAGATCTTAGAATGTTGCAGCCATTAGGATCCTTGAATGCTAGGATCCTTGAATGTTAGGATCCTTGGATATCAGGATCCTTGGATTCCTGCACGCAACAAACATTAGCTTGGGGTAGGTGTTAGTCTAGCTAACGCCCCTCTGATGCTTAAGTTAGTAATGCTTTTCGGGAGAATAAATAATAATAATAAAGGGTAAAAGGTAAAGAGTACGTGTACCTTGAGTTTGTTGGAAAAAGACCAATCTCACTTACATGAAATAAGCTTTAAGATGTATAGCATTCCAGGATCTTGGCAAGACATTTCCATCGAGGGTAGCTAGCCAATATGGCCCTTTCCTGCTTCAGCATCTATGAGATATAGTCCTTCCCATTTAGGTGCCAATTTACATGCACTTGGATCCTTGGTATTTTGGAATGATTTTCTTAATACCAAG